TATATATATATATTATATATATATATATATATATATATATATATATAGTATATATATATATATATATATATTATATATGTATATGTACCACGGCCAAGTCAAGATAGCCTCAGCGCGGGCTAACGTGCGCGCAGCCGCGCCGAAGCGCGCGTCATCGACTTTGGACAACATGCCCACCTAGGCCGAGCGCGAGTGGCTTTCTGTTGTCTGGCCAGGTCGCCTCCAGCCTCACTTCCATGCTTACTATTCAAGCGCAGACCGTCACCTGTATTTATAAAGCTCTCACACGCCTGGGCCACAACAGTTCATGGCTTCACGCGGGCCCGGCGCAGAACCGCGTGACAATCTCCCCTAACACGCGCCCGGGTGGAGGTCAAATTAACCCCCAAAGGTTTTTCAAGAATTGATTCTGAACGGCACGCAGTAACTGCGCCAACATTTGCATAGCTATTGATAATTGAATAAAAAATCGTCTGACATAAAGATGTAGATTTGCATATAAGATCGCTGACCTATGGCAGGTTAGAGTCAGGTCATGGTTTCAGCGAGGGCAATTCTTAGGAATCGTTCAATCTGATCCAACAACGGAGTGTTAGAGAAGCGAACTCTGAGATACTTTCTTAGTATCACAACAACTGATGAAACACTCAATTGACGCGGGTTCAAGTATGAAGTTCAGACCAAGGTCAAAACAACTGCTTTAGTACTTTAGCGCTTGCAGTATGGGTAGATCCTGGTGTTCATTTCGATTTGTTGATGATAGAAACCGCATGATTCACCTTCCATAGAGTTGGTTACGGTCAGAATAGGAACTGACCTGGAATGACCGGGTCAACATTTTCTTTTTAAGAACATACTGCCTAGCGCAATCTTTGTAGCTCATCCAAATGCAAATCTCAAAGCGGTCTTGTATGATTTTGACCACCATGACCTTCAAAAGGTCAAACAAGGTATTTGACCTTACATGAGCACAGAACCTTTTGATAGTAAGTTATCTAGGTTCTAGGGACCCTTTAGAGACTAACCTGATTTGAGATTTTTGACCTTATTTAACCCGAAGATCATGCCAGAGCGTCCAACATTAGACCTAAGTGAGTTGGCGTGCACGTCAATACACCCTGTGAATTTGGTGTCTCCAGCTCTCTGACTTCCTGAGGTCTTAGCGGGCTCAATTGACCTCCCACCTGAGCGGAGCGCATCCAATCGGCCACCCTAGGCGCGTGTTAAAAGCTGTGTTCTAAATTTATATGTATATATAATATATAATATATATATATATAATATATCTCTCTCTCTTCTCTCTCTCTCTCTCTCTCTCTCTCTCTCTCTCTCTCTCTCTCTCTTCTCTCTCTCTCTCTCTCTCTCTCTCTCTCTCTCTCTCTCTCTCTCTCTCTCTCTCCTCTCTCTCTCTCTCTCTCTCTCTCTCTCTCTCTCTCTCTCTCTCCTCTCTCTCTCTCTCCTCTCTCTCTCTCTCTCTCTCTCTCTCTCTCTCTCTCTCTCTCCTCTCTCTTCTCTCTCTCCCTCTCTCTCTCTCTCTCTCTCTCTCTTCTCTCTCTCTCTCTCTCTCTCTCTCTCTCTCTCTCTTCTCTCTCTCTCTCTCTCTCTCTCTCTTTCTACGCGTCAAAGTTTCATTAAAACTTGGACCGGTATTTATACCCGTCACGATGATGTTTTCACCGGACCGCCCGGCTGGTGCCCTCGTCAGACCCAGTTTTCTGTGTCGCACCGACTTTGCTGGGTGGACTTGCACCCCCAGGAACACGTCGCAGATACGAACTGTAGCCTAGCGGCTCCATCCTTGCGGCCATCCCGGACGGCACGGCGGTTGCGACCCCACGCAAGGCAGGCGGCGCTGCAGGCAGAGCCGGGTGAGCTCGGCCATCGCCAGCCGCGCCAGGCCTCGCCGCCGGTGCGTCCCCAGCGTGTGCAGGAAGCCAAGCGTCGCGTTCCTGTTGAGAAGCGCCTAGCAGACGAGCTCGCCGTCAGGTGACGACGCGACGTCATTGTCGGCGGCGACGAACACGCCGACGCTGAGGCCCGCCGTCATGCCGTCACGCATCTCACCGTCGGCATCGGGAACAACCGCAGCGTACGGCCAGAAGTGCTTTACGGTGTCCAGGTGTACGCTGTCCAGCGGCCTCACGGAAACGCCCGGCGGGCTGTGAACGAGGGTCAGGCGGGCATACAGCAAGCGGAAGCATTACCTGTCAGTGCTGCTCATATATCCTTGAGGTTAGTAAATACAGGCAGCAGGGTGGTGTAGTGCACATGGATCAATAAAACGTCGAAATTTTGATTAAATAACTAGAACTATTACATTTTGTTAACCCCCACCCGTCTGGGGTATTTCGTCGACTGCAGTCTCCTGGGATGGGCTTTTCCCAGGATATCTCTCAATATGCTCGCCAGATTCGAAACGTTCAAGTGGCAACCAACATTACGCAGGAACCTTTTCCGGGAATCGCTCACAGGTAAAGCGAGTGATGACGCCACAGCCTGTTTATGCGCTTCAAAACCTTATCATGATGTCAACGACCGTGTAGGTGTGCTTCCTCTTGTCGTATAATATATTTGCGGGTATTACCGTGCTATTCGTTGACAAATACATTTGCACGAATTTCATGGGCTAACAACACTAAAAAGTCGTTGATGCTTTGCAAGCATACCGTTTAGGGCAATTATATTTAGTACCAACATATTGATGCTGATATTCAACTTAAGCAGTATAAAAGCAATATGAAGCATGGCCAAGCTGTAGCAAGTCAGACCAGCCCAGGTCCAAGAGTAACCATGCTAACACAACGTCATCGGCCAGAACTGCATTTCCTTTGATAAGGGCAGGAGAGCACACACACCAGCAGGTCGGCACATCTTCGGCCGACGAAGGCGCCTCCCTGACGAACAACCGGTTGACGGCGCTGAAACGTCTGAGGTTGAACCCTCTCTGGCGACGGACATCGTCCAGCACCGGCTCCAGGTAGCAGGGCCAGCCGTCGGCACGGAACGGCACAGGCGCTCGTGCAGCTCAGGCGCCAGCATGGCGGCAGTCAGGCGACGCATGCTGGCTGCGTCCTCCGGCGCGAAGGCGTCAACCACGTGCAAGTCAGACGCGGCCAACTGTCGTAGGTCGGCAGGAGGGAAGCCGGGGTCAGGTCAAGTTGGAGGAGAGCGAGCGCATGAGGCCGGCCAGGTCAGGCCTGGTCCACCGGTGACAGAATGGGGCGTGCAGTTGCGGGGAGGGATGACTTCCAGAAGAGGCCCTGCAGCAGATTTCTTATTGCTGGCGTGATGGTTAGACTAGTGTAGATCTCGCTCGTGACAGTCGTTGTCATTAGTCAGAGAAAGATAGATCTTGGCAACCAACAGCTTCTCTTTCCGGTAACTTTAACTCACCAACGCCCACCTTTCGCAGCCTGCAGCAGTGATGTCGTCTTGTCTCATCCAGCTCAGTCAGCGTATGAGCATACATGACCATCGACAGAGGGCATCTATCTACTATAGCAATAGCTGTTGCACCAAGGGAATGCTCTGTGTGTGTGTTCGCCACTGACTCTTTGGGACTTTTTGGCGTCATGCGGATACTAAACGATAAGGAAGTTTTTAACGAGACTTTCTTACGACCAAGGGCTGCTGGCCGAGCGTGTCAGTGTCACGTCAAATTTGTGCATTTCGCACGCAGCCACTAGGGAGCGGCATGTGTTGTCAGGCATCCGAAGAGATAATCACGTTGCATGAACTGGTGTGTCACACGTGCTGTACGTCACGCGTGCACCAGCCAGCAAGATGGATTTGGCCGCTGCTGGCCGTTCATCACATTTTCCAAGATATCTCGGCAACCAGGCTGCTTCGAACCGTGATGCGAAACGGAAAGGATGAATAGATGGATTTTTTCCACGACTTTGCACGTTTTGTGCCACATCTAGGCACCCAGGACACAGACACACTCGGATAGTGGCACGTCCAATGTTAAATGAACGGGCAGGATGATTATAAGTGTTCGCACGTGTCACGTGACATGTGTCATGGCGCCCACGTGGTTTTACGTATAGCTCTTGGCATTTTCGACGAATTTACGCGTGTTTGCAACAATGTAGCACCCCGGGCACGAAGTGACTCCGAGAGTAGAACACTTCGATAGGGTACTTGTTGTAAAGTGTGCCCTCCCAAATGGTTCGGTCCCATGTGCTGTTCGTCTGCACACACGTGCTAGCAAGATGGATTTTAAGCTTATTCCCATCTTCTCGTTTTGCACCACATCTCGGGACGGGGATACGAGACTACTGTGAGAGTCAAGGAGCCATGGATTAGTGCCATATGTTGCATACTATATGCCAGGCATGGATTAGTGTGAGAAACGGGTGATTAGGTGGTAATATTTTTTCCGTGATTAAGGTCACGTGTCATGGCGCGCACGGCTGAAGCATTGGTTCCAATTTTTCGACGGGTTTAAGCGTTTTTACTATATTTCCATCACACATGACACGAAGCGACTCGAGAGTCCCTATGCCTCGCTAGACAATCTAACGGGCAAACGCGTGGTGGAAGATTGTAATGTTGCACGTGTCACCTGCCACGCGTGTACTAGATGTGAATGAGCGCATTGTCGATTTGGTCAGTTTTTACGTTTTACGCGGCATTTTTGCACACTCCGGGCGAGTTAGCGACATTGGGGCTGGTATGACCGCGATAAGGAATTAAACGGTCGGCCATAGGGTTCTACTTGTGCGACGCGAGGAATACGTGTCACATCGACGCGCTTCAGAAAAATTGAAAGTTCGTATGTTCGACAAGTTTACAAATGTTGCACCACATTGCAGCACCAATGACACGAAGCCATTGGGGTTGAAATTATTGATAGGGAATCATAGTAATATAGAGACATAATAACCATAGAGATTAGTATCATATTTGTCTCTATGATTAGAATTACGAGCCTTTCAATGCTCTTCTGTCCCTAACATTGCAGGCAAGTAGGCGGGTTTGTGCGCCCCTGCCTAATATGCATGTGGTGATGAGTAGACATTATCATTCTCGTCTCACAATGACAGCCCCCCCAAATGCTCTTCTGTCCCCTACATTGCAGGCAAGTAGGCGAGTTTGTGCACCCCTGCCTAATATGCACATGTCTGATGAGTAGAAGTTGTGATTATGTCTCAAAATGAGAGCCTTCCAAATTTTCTGCTGTCCTTTACACTATAGGCAAGTGGGCGGATTTGTGCGCCTCTGCCTATATACAATGTGTCGTTGTTGTGTGGTGTTAGGTTTCGTGCTGGGCTCTGCCTGGTATTGCTGTATGCGTTTCAATTAGACCAGCCAAAGCAAAATAACACTTTAGTGAATAATATGCCGCCTGAGTTTTGTGTGATAAGGCAGGACGCCTTGCAGTCAGGTCCATGTTTCGACGTAATTATTTATCTTGTCTAGTCCATATAAGGCGCGTGGTTGAGTTTGATTCGATATGAATTTTGTTTCTTATATGTACAAGTTTTTCGGACCTTGAGGGACAGTCTGGAAATCAGTTGTCTCTGGAAAATTCAGATCCTGGATCCCCAAACTGCAAAGAATATTTGTCACCTTGCTGAAAGTAGAAGCGTGGCCCTATCAGGCTTTTCGTCATGATGAGACTCACAGAAAACTCCTCCAGAATCCCAAGAGCATAGTGCCCCAAACCAAAGGTTTTGGCCGTACCTCGCCTAAATTCCTGTTTCAAGATCTGGTTCGGGATAGAGGGCACAACATCCCTGTGCCTCTTGAGAATAAATGCTTGCTATCCTTCGGGGTGCTCTCTGGAACGGGGCACCCCTTAGAACTAAGTGCTATGTGTGAAGATAATGGCTTCAGTGCTCCTTCGCTGAATGGGCCGATCCATGGTTTGGTGAAGCCTAAAATGCACATACGATGTAGTGTCCCTGACATTCGGTGCTTCCCGAAAATGAACAATTTGGGTCTCTGCGGCTTCCCGACAATTTTGTGCCTCTTGGAAGTGCAGGCGATGTGGTTTTAACCGTGAAGGTTTTGGTTTTACTTCACAACGAGGCCGCGGTTGCCACGACAGGGCATCAAACCGCGATGTTTATCCCAAAATGCAGGAGAAAGGTCAACCCTAGGGGGCCTTGCAGTTGGCGACATATCCTGGACGGTACCGGATCAACATGCTTTTATACAGTTTACATGTAAATATCGCCGTAATTTCCACCGACTGTGTACTATGCCACTCTACTAACTGTATGTACTCATCCCAGGGAGATGTGGACGTAGCACTGGTAGGTATTGCTTCCACTGGTATGTTATGCCCACCCTAACCCTGTTCACAGCCCACCGGAGTCTCCGTGAGGCATGTGGACCATCATACACCCTGGACGCCGTACCAGGCGCTTCTGGCCGTACACCCGCGGTTGTTCCGACGCCGACGGTTTGCGTGGCGTGACGGCATGACGGCGGGCCTCAGCGCCGGCGTGTTCGTCGCCACAAACCGCTCCAATTGCAGCGGCAGGGGCGACAAGCCGGCAGGGGGCGACAGCCGGCAGGGGCGACACTCACCCGCTGGCAGCAGGCGCGTCTGGGACCGGCGTGACCACTTCGGCAAGGCGGCCGACCCGCTCGGCCAGCTGGTGGTGCCGTTTGCACGCGGTCAAGGTGTAATCGGTCAGCAGTAGACACGTGGGCTGGTGTGTGTGTGGAGATTAGCCCGGGCCGTGTGTGGCTGGCTTTGCATACCAAGGCTCAGAGGCCGGTCAGTACCTGTACCCCTGATGCACGCACACGCGCGCACGCACGCACACACGCACGCACACATACAAACACACACATATGTACACGCACACGCACACGCACGCACAAGCACATGCATATTCAGGCATACGCACGCATGTACGCACGCGTGAACAAACCAGACAATCAATCAATCAAAGACAATCAATCAAAGACAATCCACGCTTGCTTGAGGACACATGTCTATGAGGACGCACAGGAAGCGGGTAAACGCAACGGGGGTGATAGTTGACTGGATCGTGCGCGTGCCTGCCTGGTTTTGGCATCGCAATTATTATTGCGTCTTTCCACGCCTCCGAGAAAACATGGGAGAGCAATGTGTCATTGAAAATCATCATTATTAATTGTAATGGTATAATAGGTATAAAAGGTATAATAGCACTGATGCAACTAGAGCTCATAGCTACAGTTGTAACAGTGTTAATAAAGCCCACAGGGCTGGTGTGAGTGTGCGCCTATAAGTAATTTTCCTGGGCCACTAAAATCTCGTGAAGACGCTACGGGCCGACCCAGGCCACATTCTACAAATCAACGTTGGAACGCAAACAATGTCGTGCCGTCCGGTTGGCGATTTATCTTGGCGTCTGATAGTGCTCACACAACGACGATTTTTTGGGCATGCACGCATATAAGTATGCTATATTGCATTTTATATGTCTAAAAATAGGCCGTTGATCAGCACTGAGTGCATGCACCTTCGGGCTATCTGCCGGAAATATCAATGACGTCATAAAGCATACCTGTTGCGCTGGCAGCTAAAGCTCTAGAAAGGGGCCGACGAAAACGCACAGATGTTGTCTTGGCTTGCACCTAAAAAATTTTCCCGGGCCATCTTCATTTTGCCAACGCTTTAACGTCAGAATTGGCAACAGAACTATCCGTCATAACGCAAAAAGTGCAGGACGGTTCGATGGTGTTTTTAACATAGCGTGTGATAGTGCTCCCATAATAACATTGTTTCACCATGGCCACACTCACCGTGCTCGCATAAAATTATTTTATCTTACCTCCTTAACACGCGCCCGGGAGGCCGGATAGATGCCCCTCGCTCGGGTGGGGGAGGGTCAATTTGACCCCCTAAGATCTCGAGAAATA